GCTTTTGTAGGAAAGCGTGCAGGGAGTAGGGCTTAGTGAGTGGGCCTACATAAGCTACTGTTGCCAATTTATCGAAAGTAAACGTATGCTCGTTAATGTATCTTTTGCATTTTCGAGTGGGTCAGTTCATTGTCGATCGATTTATAATGAGTTGTCTTATCATATACTGACATTCGTCTGCACAGAATGGATCTTCTGAAACTAGGGCCTACTTAATTGCTCTATGTTTATGTTTTGGAACACCGACTTAAGCCTCTTTTTTCACACTGTGCTCCACCCGAACTATACAAACCAACGTTTCAAATTTCCAGTGGAAAAGGTTGAATTGTAAAATTTAGCATACTTAATGCATTTTTGACTTTAAATTACACCCTGGGACATAAGTGCCTTCTTGAACAGTAGTCGACACACAAGAGAAAAGAAATATAACTCAATTTTGATTTATCGATGCAAGTATATAGAGTGCATCATAAAATGTTTTATTTTTGGGCATATAACACTAAGGTTTAGCGCACGCAGAGCTAAAGGTTCTTGGAGATTATATGTCTTTACACCTTGAGTTCTAGGACCTACTGTACCAGGTTTGAAAGCCAGCACATATGTCTTTTTACAAGAATACATTGAGCTTATGCCTCGCAGATGTTACGGTTCCGTCCAGACTTCGATAAAAATGTAACAACTAAAGTGCTTGAAAGGTTTTTTATGACGTCTGGCAACTATGCTTTTTAAAATATGTACTTTCCTTGAAAAGTCACAACAGAGAGACACATTCTTATATCCTCATAATGTCATCAAAAACCTTACCGAATTTGGTGAATAGGACCTCAAATGAAACGGTCCTTGCCTTCGTCTTGATTCTGCCTATGGTAAACGACTGCGCCATATGTAGCGAAGAATATATATGGGCATAATGTGGAGGCTCGTGGAATTACCGACATATTTTCTTTGATGTGAACTCATAACTGGATCCTCAGAAATTTATTTGGAACGCGAGATAGACAGCAGTGTTTTTGTCATAAAATACGCCCCCCTCCAAACGCTAAAGACTGAAAAAAACATGACCTAATGGCATTTATTTTAAGAGACTCATTGTTGAAAAGGAATATGTGAACATAAGGAGCCTTTATATAACAATTTTAGCTGAATTTTAATGAGACTAAATTTACAAGGAACATTGAGTCATAAATAGCACTCATTTATTTTGGTCAGTGGCCTGGTCCATTTGTTACCTCGTGAGCCGCATAATGTAATTTTCAGACGCGTCAAAATTCTACAGAGATGACCAAAATAGGCATTCTCTGACACAGGAGTATGGCATGTGGTTTTGGCTCAATGCGTTTATCAAGAGCTTTAAGCATAAAATCCGGTGCTCTTACTTTAGGGATGATCATACGTGTTACACACACAGAAGAAGATCCTTTGACTAAATAATATATGTTACCTGACTTGCCAGCAAGTAATATTTTATATGCAAGCTGATTCATTCTCAAATAAAAGTGAGAATTATTCTCAGCAAAAAAAATTGCCGTAGAAGTGTCTATTTCCC